TAGCCACGCCATTCGGTCAAGACCATTATGGATTCACCGACAAGCTGCTGGAATCTGCAGGCTGCTACCACTGTAACAAGCTCATCTCCTGAACTAACGAGGGAGTGCGAAGACAAAGGTCTAGCCGTCATTTCGTCTTCCCACGACTTAGCTCCTCGCACCAACGTACCACTGCAAGAAGCCTCCAGGTTCACCAGTAGCTCACGCGGAGCCCCACCCTCAAAAGGCATATCAGATGGCACAGAAACGTCTCATCCCACATGCGGTGGCGCCTATCAGCCTATTTCGGGAAATATGAACAGCGGAGCCAGCAGTCCCCCCGCCGCACAGGCGAGTCATGCGGCTGGTGCAAAACGCGAACATGCAAAGGTGCTACATGGTCATGGGAAATACGATGAGTGGGCTCCTCTTCTTGATGACGTGCTCCCCTCCAAGAGTCCGTCGCTTTTGTTAGGACAGATTTGCTTCGATGTGACGACCAGCGACCAGAGGGGATCGTGGCTGTTGCCGGAGGAGCTGTTGGTCCCGCAACACTGCCCAACTGCTGAAGAGCAGCGGGACAGGCAGATCTTTACCAACATTCCAGTCACTGAAGAGGAACAGCAAGCTATTGACCAGATAGTGTTGCAGCTGCTGGAAAAGCACAACGAGGAAGATGATGCAACGAGTTCAGCATGCAAGCTTTCACACGGATTGCGGGGGCTGCAGCATGCTTGGCTGGAGCAACTTGTACTGCGTTACCTATACAGCTGTTCGTTTGATAGGCAGAAGACGGTGGACCTTCTCATCTCAACTCTCGCTTTCCGCACTCAACAGCTGCCTGTGAGCTGCCCTCACCCCCCCGCCATGGGTTGCCTCCCTCCCCAGAAACACCTCCCCTGCAGCGGAGCAGCGGCCCCTGCCTTGTTCTTGGTGAACTTATGGTCATTTGCTTTGTGCATCTGCTTCCCTGTTGTTCGATTGTCGTACCAGGTGTTGGAGTCCGAGGTGTATTCTGAACTGAGGAATGTAGGTGCATGTTACTGGCACGGAAGAGACCGAAAGATGCGTCCACTCCTTGTACTCTCGTTGCAGCGGCTCCAGCAGTTGCAGCGAGAGTCTGGATCAGAGGAGAAGGTGACGCGGCTGGTCATCTTTTGCCTTGAGTTCTTTTTGAGGTCAGTCGTTCGACAAAATAGGGCGATTGGGGAGGCTGGTACATGGGCACCAGTGTTGCAAGGGCTCTGCAGAGGAATTTGCATCCATAGAACGTTCCTTGCGTCTGCATATTTTTCGGTGGTAGATGCAGGAGCAAGAGTAGGAGTGAGTTGGTTGCACTTTGTCGTGCTGTCTGTGCAATGGCGCAGGTACCTCTGTGTCGCCGGCGTAGTGGAAAGTTGGTCTGTTCTCTGCGACCTGAATGGCACGTCTATCTCTAGCTTTCCGCTTCCATTGCTGCTCAAATTGATTCAATTGATTCAAGGAGCGTACAGAGGTCGCCTTTATCGCTTCTACGTGTTGCATGCTCCCCGACTTTTCCACTTTGTAGCCCGACCCCTTGTTGCATCGTTGCCGGCAACCACTGCAAAAAAGGTTCGGGTGTATACGCAACTCGAAGAATGGTATGAGGAAAGGTGTATGCAGTTCGCTGCTCATCAAGTCGAAAAGAAGTTTGGGGGCACGGCTCCCGATGTAACGGAGGTACGACAGGCCACAGTGCTTGCGTCTCTAGCGATGCTTTGCGTAGTGGATGGGAATTCGCATCTTAGTGGGCTTCTGGCTTCACCACGTATGGAGCTTAGAGGGTGTGATGCGCGAGGCGCAGTGATCCGGCTTGCTAACAGTTGAGCATGGTGCTGTGGCTTGTTTACAGGCTTGGTACCCCTTCCGCTTTTATCCAGGGCCTTTCGAACCCGAGGCCTCGCCGCAATCCAGCGATCTTAACAGCTCTTTCATTCGCTGGGAGAGTGAGAAGAAGATGCATGTCAAGGTTCACCCGATAGTGCACACAGGAGTCTCTCTGCACGCATCGCTGCTGCGGAAGCGCAAGGACGAGGAGCATCCGAGCAGCCCTCATGACAGACTCGCGACGCCGCCTTTCCGATATGCAGCGTGGCTCCATCAGCTCCCCGA